TCGTGAAACCCCGCAACAGTGTTAACAGATTAATGCGATTAGGGTTATAAAGTGTGAAACCCCGCAACTGTGAGATAATTAATTGTAGCCGTTATTTGTAGATTGTTAAATAAACCAATTAACCATCTCTACGGCGTCTTCGGTAACGGAAACACGTTACATTGGTGTCAGAAGTGGGATCAGTAACGAAAACACGTTACAATACTATAAGAAATGTGACCATAATTGAAAAACTGTAACTTTGGGAAGCACTGAACTTCATATTTACTTCTGCCCATTCCAGATTTCACTCAGCAGATATATGTAGCAGTAATGCTTCAGACTTGTAGTGGAAGGCATGTGGTTCGAATCTAGCTGAAGCACTGGCTGCCCCAAGAGGTTTTGTGTGGTATTGCTCGATCCCTCCAGGCAAATGCCAGGGCAGTACCTTGATTAGGCCATGACTGCTTCCTTCAGAATTGTTTCCAGTTCATTAGTCATCCTCCATTGGACAGTACATAGCATAGATAGTGACAAACCAGAAACCACATTTTAGTTCTATTGTGCAAAAAGTCTGACTGGAAGTCACATTTGTAATTCTTTTTATTGATAAAGTATGAAGATTTCATTGACAGATTGTGAGTTGATATAAATAAACTTCATCTAATTTGCGTCATTGATGGTATGTTTTAGGCGTTGGGATTGGCAGGTCAGAAGTTGCTTGGGATCCCCATCATTGTTCAACATACACAAGCTGAGAAGAACCGTGCAGGCAATTCAATGCCTAATATGGTGATTCCAAAGGGTAACAGTGGGCCCATGAGGCTGTATGTTGGGTCATTACATTTTAACATCACAGAAGATATGCTGCGTGGAATCTTTGAACCGTTTGGAAAAATAGACAACATTCAGCTTATTATGGATCCAGAAACAGGACGCTCCAAGGGCTACGGCTTCCTCACAGTAAGTTTAAAATTTGTACATTTTCCTAGGATATATTTTGCTTGAGGTTGATTAGTTATATCATCTTTTGAAAAACAAGTAAAGAAGAGTCCTGAAGACATCCCACTTATCAGTTTGATGCCTAACATCATGCTCTAAACTGGTAGTACAAGGCAATTGAACATGTGATCAGTATTCCTCAACTTAAGGTTTGCCCTTATTCAGTATTCAGTTTCAGTGATCCAGAGTCAGCAATCTATGAGACAGACTTTTGTTAAAGTTTTTATTGCTGTCTAATTTCATTGTCAGAGGAATAAAATAGGGATGCTGCTGTATAAACTTCATGTTGTGGTATCTTGCTCGTAGTTGAAAGTTTGATGGGCATTCAAAGTGCAGTTGATACATGTATTTGGAAGGAAACAAAACTTCCTGTTTATTTTGAGTTTTACCAACTGTGGGATGGGGTAGGAAGTGGGTAAAGTATAATTCTGTGTAACAAGAATATGTAAAACAAAAAATCTTGTGCTAATGTGTATATTTACTGTCGGAAAATGGATGAAATACATAATCATCCAGTCTCTCTCCAAATTTCTAATTAAGTATACCAGCATGCAGCACTGGGACAGTAAAGAAGCCTGCTGTACAGTTGTTATGCCAGTGGCTCAAGACCATGGCATCAGATCTCCCCAGAAGTGATATAGAATAGGTATAAGAAGTTTTATCTGATGAAATCTTCTCACGTTATCGGCCATGTCAGTTGGTTAAAAGTTGCCAATGTTTCAGGGATCATCCCTGTCTGATGTCAGACCCAGATGGGGACAGATATGGTCCCGGAAATGTCAGTAATTTTTAACAGGCTGACACAGCTGATAGCTCATGAAGATTTTATCAGCTTTAGCTGCTTCAAATTTTGCTGTATATCTGATAAAATGGATGGAAGGAAAGATGAGAAAGAAATTGGGAATGTTGACAGTGAACATGAGAGGTTTTTGGAACCGTGAAGACATTGAGCCTAAGGTATATAATAGGAATGGTGAACAGAACAAGACTGATAGAACTGAATAAAGGCTGGTGACTTGGAGGAAACTGACTCAATAAGTTTCGTGTGTAAAATATTTTCTTACATGTGTTTGCAGTAAGATTATGAAATTAATTCATGAAATTACTTTTTCTGTGCAGATAATATTTTCTAGTGTGTGGTTGTCTTACATTCAGAATCATCTTCCATTCAGGTAAATATGGTAGTACATCTTAGTGCACTGTGAAAAAGTGGCTAGTCTTATAAGTTATCACACAGAAAATGTATATACTAGAGAAAATTTTCGTTCTCAGTTATCAGAATGTTTTCGGATTCTCATCTTGAACTGAGAAAGCCATTCTTTCGTCTAATAAAATGACATATATGAGACATTGCACCAATGGCCATGCATAATAGTCCAGTGTAAGTCCATAAAATGAGTATGCAATTTAAAGCTGAGGCTGAAAGCAGTGAATCTAGTTCGAGAAAGGACAGATGTAGATATAACATGGTGGCTGAAAAACTGGAATAGTGGGATGTTTAGATGCTGCAATTTCTAGGCAGCAGTGTGCTGATTTTGTGTGACTGTACACACAAACATTCATCTGAGATGCAACCCCTTTTGCAACAAGTTTTGCTGCATGAGAAAACAAATACAAAAATAGCATGTACATATCAAAACCAGCACACAGTCACACAAGAGAAGGCTTCATTCTATTGTGATTCAGCACCAATAACAGCTACCAAAATTTTGATAATAAATAAATATGTTAACATGCAAAATTATACTCTGATGTGAAAACTGATCACTTATATGTGACCAAAAAACAACACCATTTGAAAACTGTAACAAGAGAATCTTGTTTCCATGCTTTGTTTTTATGTCTTCTCAGATGCTCCAGATTTATGTACTGAGAAAGGTTCTTTCTTTAATTTCTAGTTCCATAATGCAGATGATGCAAAAAAGGCTCTGGAACAGCTGAACGGATTTGAGCTGGCAGGACGTCCGATGAAAGTTGGAAATGTAACAGAGCGTTCTGACTCAGCGCAGGGTCCTTCAATTCTGGATAGCGATGAACTGGACAGGACTGGTATTGATCTAGGTGCCACAGGTCGCTTGCAGCTAATGTTTAAACTTGCAGAAGGTGAGTTAGGCAAGGAAATTAAATATATAGACAGCACTGTTGATTAAATACTGCATGATTTTAAAATTGTTCATTAATATAAATCAAAAGGGACCAACATAGGAATAAATACATGTTTCATTAACTCACTGAGGACCAGCTTCTTGAGTGCCAATTCCACCCTTTCAGGATAGAAGCTTTTTACAAAAGAGATCATGACTCCTAAATTTATCGTTCTAGAATGATTTAAATTCTGGATTGTACTGTGTCCGAGGAACAATTAGAACTGCAATGGATGTCCAGTGTAACAAGAATCATAACTGAAAAATTGATGCTTCAGTGAATACTTGGTACAGGGTTTTCAGAACCTGGAAATGTATGAATGGCTCTGAAAATGAAACAGCAAATATTTATGGGTGTTGAACACGCAGGAGCTTATCAGGAAATAAATAAATATCAGTAATCTGTAATGTGTGGACTGTGTGAATCGTATTATCAGATATTAAGTCAGTGAACAGAGGAAATGTCTCGTGAGTTTTACTTCAGACACTGTGAACAGGTGCTATTATCAAACAGACATGGCTGCTATGTGATCTTGTGCTGAATTGTGATTATGTTCAGGACTGAACTTTCCAGTATTTCTGTTGATAATTTTTCTGCATTTGTGACAGTTTCTTAAGAAACAGATTTAATAAAATATAGTTTATTGCTGTGGAAACATAGAACCAGCATAAACATGATGCCTCATTGTTATGACAAAGTTTATATTTGTGAGGACATGCACACTGCAGTCATGGGGATTCAGTACTGTCTGCTAGAAATTAGATGGTATCCTGATTGTGAAGTGCTGCAGTTATGCCTTAGGGATAAATAGAAGTTTGTAAACACAAATAAGAAGTTGTGGCTACGGAATGTGTGGAAATCTCTATTCACATGACATTTCTTGGAATATGAAGTGTGCACTAAATATGTGCAAATGTCTTACATTATTTCCACAGTTCTTGAAAGGCTTCAAAGTGATGGGTAGGATAGGTAGTACGTTGTTCTTCATGTGACTGTTCACAGGAAACTCATTGAAAGTGGTTCGCTGCAAACATGAATTTGTGTAGATAGGGCCAAGAGGAGTGGACAGAGGGAAGCAATAGTGCAGTGGGGACACCTCTCAGGCAGGACCATTCACGTGTTGTAGAAAATGCACTATACAAGGTGCGACAGTTTAATTCCTGGAATGTCCCTGTGAACAGTTTGCTTACCTGTGCACTAGCAGCTGCTGTCACCTTCAAAATACTCTCCTTTTGAAGCTATGCACTCTGTGAGACGATGGTGCCTCTGCCAAACAGTCTTGAAAATCGTTTTCTGGAATACCTAGCATTAACGTTACATTGGATATCAGGAATGTCGGTAAATCTGTCTCCTCAGGGCATTTTTTTTTTAATTTTGGAAGGAGCCAAATGTCACAGGGGGCTAAGTCAGGTGAATAAAGTGGATGGTCCATTTTTATAGTGGATTTCTTAGCCAGGAACTAGAACTCTTAATGCGTCATGTGCAGGGGCATTGTCATGCTGGAGAATCCACCTGTCTGGACAGTTTGGGCCTTTTCCTTTTAAGAGATTCCCTTAACCTTGTCAGCCAGTTTCTGACACTGACTTTCTAACTGATAATTCGCCACTGAAAACCAATCGTTGAATGCGTCACACTCTGGAAGCACTCATGTGCAAGCACCGATGAATATTTCCTCATCAGTTCTCAAAACAAAGCTGGGCTATATTTGGCTGACCAGGTCATAAACAGTCATATCTCAATGTAAATAGTATCGAAACCAGTACCATGATGAACGATGTCTTTGTTCAGAGCTAAGGAATGAACCATTGACATGACCTTACGATCATTTGTTTTGGTTTCAAACCCAAGGTCAAACTGTCAGCACTCCCAAAGAGAGCACGTCGTGCCGCGTATATATATATATAACATTTGGCCAACTCGGGTTGCTTCTTGCTGCATATATACATATATACAGGGGAGTCGCAGAAAAGTGGGGATAGGCTCGGCGAATGCAGCAGTCATGGAAGTTTCTGTCTAATACCCCTCAGTAGGAAACATGAGGTGAACGAGTGAGCAGCGTGCGTTTGCTGTCAAAGCCTATTTTTCGAACAGCCATTCCTACGTGGCAGTGCAGCATGCGTTCCATACTCACTTCGGAATTAAGCCCGGAGGACCGGTTCCCAACTGGAAATCAATTGTTTTGTGTATAGAGAACTTTAGGACAACGGGGAGTGTGGTGAACAAATCATCAGGACGACAATGGACTGTTATGACGCCAGAAAATGTGGAGGCAGTTCGACAGTCGATTTTGAAATCTTTTTCGAACGAGCTCTTGAAGAAATGCATCTAGGAAATATCTGGTTCCAACAGGATGGTGCCACGGCCCACACAGCCCGAGCTTCGATGACAGTTTTGAGGGCAAAGTTCCCCGGACAGCTCATCTCGCTTCGAGGTGACATCCCGTGGGCAGAGCACTCACCTGATCTAACGCCCTGTGATGTTTTTTAAGGGGATACCTGAAGGCAGAGGTTTTTAAACATCACCCCACAAACCTGCTTCAGCTGAAGAATATTATTCGACAGGAAGTAGCCCAAATTCCGGTGCACATGTTGAAGCATGCAGAGGGGAACTTCAGAAAACGGTTGCATCAATGCATAGAGAACAGTGGCTACCACCTCCGAGATATTTTGTTTAAAACTACATGATTTAAAACTTTAACGTATGTTCTTTCATTAGCTAAACATAAATTTTGTTTATCAGCAATAATTTCTCTTTTATTCGCCTTCAAAAAAAGGAAGTTTCTGCGCCCCACCCTGTTTATAACATTCGGCCGTTAAAGGTTAAAACCCCCATGTTTCATAACCCTATCGAACATCTTTACATTGTGTAAAAGATCAGGTGAAATGTGAAGCCGATGTTGTTTCTGGTCATCTGTGAAGATTTTTCTAATTACCAAATCCTCCACAATAATATGTCATACTGTTTCCCTATTCACAATCAGTTCTTCTGCTATTAGTTTCACACCTAATGTTTGATCTGAGTGCACCAAGGTTTGTACTCTGTCGACATTTGCATCTGTCCTTTGCTTTTGTGGCTGCCCACTTCTTGGATCATTTTGCACATCATCTTGCCCTTCCTTGAGCCACCTGTGCCATTCAAAAACAATCACTTTCTTCATAGTGTAGTCACCGTAAGCCACTGTTAATAGGGTAACATTTCATTGGCACTTTTACCAATCTCCACATGACATCTGCTGCTCCAAATTCTCGTCGCTCATTTTTGTACCAACAGTATACCACAGACATGTACTACTACCTCTGCTGCTTGGGAACGAATGACTCATTTAGTCTGTGGCTCATGTAAACACAAGTTGGAACATGCCCAAACATGCTTGGGTACATGAGTTTGCAGACTCAACACCCTAGTGACATGCTGCGGCCATTATGGGAATTAAATTGTTGCACCTTGTAACTATTACAAAGTGAAAGCTGGGTAGCAAAGTGTTATGCTTGACCTGTCTGCACATAGCCCCACCAGTTTGACTTCTCCATCTGCAAGACTCCACTCTAAACAATTTAATATCATATATTGATCTATGGTGCATGGAACAGCCAGGCTGGTACCATATGTCAAATGGTGCAATGACACTTTTCTGTGAAGAAAAAACTTAAATGTGTTCAATGTGTTACATTGATGTTACCCCTTTGTCTTGTATTAGGATTCTTTGGGATGAAGGCTCTTTACTGAAGATTACTGAGTTTTTTTCGCTTGGCCATTGTCTCATAGTCTTTAGAATATTAGGTGGTGGATGAAGTCAAAATCTCAATAATCCATCATCATCAGGACACTTCAGATTTGACTACTGTTTCTCAGTCAGTGGTTATAATGAGTCGGAATAGAAAAAAAATTTGTTTCTCTTTGTGCTTATTTCATTCATGAAGACTCAGAATTAATGGCTGAGCCAAATTGTCATACATTCCTGTATAAATCCAGAAATAACTTGCACTGAATGGAAATTCTGGAAAAGTTCTCTTGTTAAATCGGAAGAATAGTGTTATGCATAAGATAATTAAATTGATGGTACGTAAGAAAATTCACATTAAATAAACTTCTAATTATAGGCTGTACTCTTCTTCTTGGACTTCTGCTATATTAACATTATTCATACCATTGCTGCTCTCTTTTCTTGGTTCTGGGTGTAATGCATCAGTATGTTAAGACATGCTTATTGTCACAATTGTTTACAACCATGGCACACACCCTGTCTTCATTTAATTCCCTCAGCTGCAGATATTACCATATTTGCTAGCATAATTAACAGACTTTTTCTTTAACTCATTACCACCTCCATAAATTACATAACAGTAAAGTTCACGAACTCGTCATGGTAAAAGTACTAGATACCTTATTGCTGAATATCACTGTGGTCGCTTTCACAGTACTGCCCTTAGGAAGTTATGTACTGGTGTCAGTGCCTGGTCCACCCCTCAAAACAATTTTGTAACTGGTTTTGTGGAATGGCCTTCAGAGCTGCCATTGTATTACTCCTGATGTCGTCAGTGACACCAGAATGCCTTCCTTTCAATATTTCCTTAATCTTCGGGAATGGAAAAAAGTCACTGGGGGCTATATCCGGTGAATAGGGAGGGCGTTCCAGGACAGTTGTTTGTTTACTAGTTAAAAACTCCTTTACAGAGAGTGCCATGCCAGCAGGTGCATTGTCATGATACAAGATATGTGATTTGTTGACAAAAAGTTTGGGTCATATCTGTCTAACTTTTTCATGCAGCCTTTTAAGTACTTCCAAATAATAAACTTAGTTGACTGTCCAGTTGGTACAAATTCATACTGAACAATCCCTCTGATATCCAAAAAAAAAAAATTAGCAATGTTCTGACTTTTTGACTTGGACTAATGGAACTTTCTTTGGTCGTGGAGAATTGGCAGTCTTCCATTGTGCACTTTGCTGCTTCATTGCAGGGTCCTGTTGGTAGACCCATGTTTCGTCAACTGTGACAACGTGGCCCAAAATGTCATTGCCTCTCAGAAAGCTCTTGGAAAATTTTTGCTCTTCTCTACTTTTGTTCTTTGGTGAGCTTTGGGACCATTTTTACACACACCTTCCTCATGTCAAGATCTTCACTTAAAGATTTTCCTAACTGTATCTCGGTCAATGTTGGCTTGCTCTGCTATGCTCCTGACAATCAGCTGACGATTTTCACGCACAATTTGACAGCCTTTTGCAATGTTTTCTTCAGTTCTGCTCATTGCTGGCCATCCTGATCTCTTGTCATCAGTTACGCTTTCCCTTCCCTCAGAAAAACGTGTCACGCACTTGTAAACTGCCGTTTTCTTCATAGCGTTATCTCTGTAAACTTGCATTAACAGCTCTCTGATTTTGCTTCCACTCTTGCCAAGTTTAACAGGGAATGTAATGTTTGTTTGTTGCTGTAATTCAAGCTCTGACATTCTCACAATGGCACACCAAAACACACTCAGACAATAATAGATACCACTCAGAAAGAGACTGCCATAGATCAACAACAGCTGTGAAATGCCGATATGTCAACGTCATCAAACCATACTGAGGGTTCTGTCCACTGCTGCCACAGCAAGCACACAGTGGCAAGTTCGTGAACTTTTAAGGACTTGCACAGTCAACTGCATATATGTATACGTTCTTCGTTTGTTTAGGTATTGGCCTCAGCATGAACCTCGTGCATATGGATTACAAAATTTGATTTTTGTGCCAGAACATTCAACAGGTGTAATAGGAAATGGTAGTGCACTTTGCACATTGAGTACAAATGGAAACTGATTATACAAGTAGTGTAGTCATTCTATTCACTCCTTGCTCTCCCGGCTGCCTTTTCAAGAGATACCACATGTTGACGTAGAAATTAATTAAACAACATTTAGTGTTCTGTGATTAAAAAAGAATTATTGAGCACTGAGAATAATGTCTGCTAACTTGGTGGTAAGGGATGCGAAATCTGAAGCTCCCTGGCTCACCCCAGAAATATGCAAGACATGTTAAAGCCTGTCAGAAGACTCCAGTTGTTTGACATGCAGGACAGTTCATTCCATCTGTTTACAGCCTGTCCTGTGAGCAAGCTAACTGGAACCGACTTGTCTTGCACTGCCCACCTGTCTCCTACATAAACCAAAATTTTGGCAAGCCAATTTCTGTGCTTGCTACCTGCTTCACAGCGATTTTTTGCATGGCTTATTCTTTAACCTTGAAAGTCAGTTCACTTTCAACAGACTACACAGTGTGACATCCCAGAACTCTTCATAACCACCTCTGTGAGACCCTCAAATTCTACAACTGCTCCATCCATTTTAATTTTTATTTTGATTCAAAAGTAGAAGGGTTATCTCGATATGTTAATGAAGTGTAATATGTTTAAAAACAAACTTTAGTCCATGGTTCCTAAGAACAAGACATCTGGTAACTTCTGTATCAATAGAGTATCAGTATAAAAATGTTTTGGAAACTGTAATGATTAGGTTTTCATTTACTTGTACTGCTCTGCTCTCTTAAACTCATCTGAAGAGAATGATGCTGAAAGTAAAAATATTTTCATATCAATCCTTTGTGGATATACGAATTTAGAAATGCATAATAGTTATCAAATAATACCTAAGTAGTGGTTGCACAGCAATCCTTTGTAGCTGGTCTTGAATCCTGATTTGTGTTACAGTATGTGGTATTGGTATGAATTCCTTCATTCGCATAAACTGCATATGATGCCAGTTTTAAGTTAATCATCATTAGGTACATTCATGAGACTAATGATTATGTGACATCCAGAAATTGAGTTTTGTCTGGACCAGTAATACAGTTATTTTTCCTTAACATGTTCTGATGTTGGGGTTTATTGTGATCAAATAAATATACTAGTTAACACATTTTCATCATTTGTTCCATATATAATGAAGTTCATTGTGTATCATTTGTAGGCACTGGTCTACAAATACCTCAGGCAGCAGCAACTGCATTAAATCTTAACCCTGCAGGAAGTTTACCAATCCAGCAACCAACACCTCCCATAGCTACACAGTGCTTCATGCTGGCCAATATGTTTGACCCTGCCACGTAAGTTTTGTCAGTGCTGTTTTGTACCATTGTATTCATACCATTTTTTTTTTTTGAGGGTTTAAGGTTAAGCCATTATTTGTAGACTAATAAAGCACTAGCTCCAGAACAGTTTGGCTTCATAAAATGAATATCCACTGAAAATACAACCTTTAAAGAGAGGCAGTATAAAGAACACGAAACAAATTGGTTCTAAATTTTAACAAAGTACTTTTTAAACTATACTTGTAAACAGACTAATTGTAATAACTTCCAAATATTTTAATGCATTCATGCATGTTGCTGTAGTTAAAGATAAGATTTTATATTCTTGGCATTGTGATGATATTTTATGTATGTATTGATAATGACCAAACACATTGTAATACTGATTTCCACCTGTATTGATATGTCCTGAAAATGGTGTCAAAGATCAATACATGTCAAGTATGAAATTTTAAAAAGGAGAGAAAGAAAAAACATTGTATCAGTCACACTGGTCAGAGGTGACAACATTTTATAACATTTTGACTGACTTTGGATTCATTGAGTGGAATGTAATATATGAGGAGCGTTCCAGGGCTATAAGGTGGATGCGGTAGGACAGTCCAGCCAAACTTTGCAATGTGCGCATGGTTGCCAGATTGGTATTTGGTCTAGCGTTATCATGTTGCAAGCGAAAGGTTGTATGCTTCTTTGGCCTGACTGAGGAAATGCTGGCTTTCATCTTAGTCAGCATCATCTTGTAGTCAGAATTGACAGTCTCACCAGGCTCCAGGAAATCCAAGAAAATCACAATCCGCCTATCGCAAAAGACCGTGCACATCACTTTCCCTGCCGAAGGCTGTGTCTTGAACTTCTTTTTTCTTGGGGAATCCGGATGTCGCCACTCCATGGACTGTCTTTTGGATTCCGGCTCATAGTGGTGAGACCACGTCTTATCTCCGATGACAGTGCTGTCCAGAAACTTGTCACCTCCAGCCTGAAACTGGTGCAACAGGTCCTGACAAACTTCAATTCGATGAGTTTTGTGGTCCTGTGTAAGCATCCGCGGGACCCACCTGGAACAAACTTTGCGATAATCCAGCTTCCCCAACATCGTTTCCAATGCATTACAGCCGATATTAAGCTGTGCACACAGTTCCCTGGTCGTTATCTGCCGATCTGTATAGATGAGGCACTGTTCATTGTGGTGGCATCTGAGCAGTGATGCCCAGGGCGTGGCTTGTTGTGCACTTCACTTTTGCCACTGTTGAAATGAACTACCCACTTCCTCACTGTGCTGATATCCACTGTATTGTCTCTGTACACCTTTAGCAAGTGTCGATGGATGTCAGTGGGTACAATTTGTTCGGCAGTGAGAAATTCAATAACATTATGTTTCATATGCACTTTTATGTTAGACACCATTTTGGTAGACTGCTCTGCTGTCGCTATCTGTCGCACGACAACCAAACTAACAGTACATTGGCGGGAAGGTTCAACCTTTACTACAACACCACCATCATCCATCTCAGACGTTACATATTAACACAAAAAAATAGGAGGAGGCATTATTTTCGCAACGCCCTTTGTAGTATAATATGAGCATTTTAGGTTTGTTAGGCATTCAGTGTCATATCTCAGTAAAGTACAAATTTCACCTTCACCCCCTCAGATTTTAGTGAAATTTGTTGAGGTGCAGTCAGACATAGAGGTGAGTTATCATGTCTTGACCTGTATATGTAGGGAGTATAGTTATGTATTTATGCTTGAAGTTCTAAAAGAAATGTTTTTATGACAGGACTTGATGATTTGAAATTGTTGGAACTCTGTCCCTAGTTGAGGTGTGCTGATCTTAGTCTCATTTTAAAGAGAATGAAATAATGTGTCAGTGGAAGTATAACACTACCAAATGTTCGCACACAATTTACTGCATAGTCTGAACATTTTCTTCTTATTAAGTTCAACATTTTATTTACATTGATAGTGTGATGTATTTATTTCTTAAGAAGCCATGTTTTTGTCCATTTCCATCATTTTATCACAATTCCTTCACAAAAATCATTTGGGCATATTATCATGATGCCATATTAGTGATTTGCTGAATGCTTAGGCAGTAGTTACAGTGTTTTATAAAAAGATAACATATTATTCGTTGTAGTCCCAGAGCCAAAGATTCACAACTTTTGTTTTGCATTTTTTAATAAGGAACCAAAATGTATGATGATGAGATACTAATTAACAGTAAATTATGGTATTCTGAATATTACAAAGTAAAGTTGTCCATGTGCTTAAATAATTAAGCACTATGCCATGAAGCATATGGGGGAGTGGATGTATAAACCACATTTTCTTGACATTGGCACTAGTCGGAGGTGAGTGGTCAGCTTCACGCCTCAGCTGCTTTACCCCCAGGAGCCCCTGGTACCCACTGGATAGGAATATTCGTTCTTTAATATTTCAGCTAATATATATTGTTATAATGATAAGGAGAGTAACCGCGTATCCTGTGCAAAAAATGGGCCATTCAGCTATTATTTATTAGTACTGAAATGTGTGCATGCATTCTCCTTACCAGAAACTGTACATTTCCTAATCACCAGTAATACATACAGTTCTTGCTATAAATAATATTTCGGTTATAAGCAACACCAATTTTTTAAACGATACACAGAAAATGGTTGGGCCTAATTGCTGGCCCTTGCACCTTCAAAGATCTGTTGTGCAGTTTTAGATGGTGCATAATAGGGATAAAAGTGCACTGGCATTTTCCAAAATATGATACTAAAATAGATGTTGATAATTAGGCTGTTAAAATATGACAAATGTATTGAACTGGTCCAGGGTAGGGTTCAAATGCATTGTGTTCCATTACAGCAAATTCTAAGAATATCTTGGAATAAGTAATTTACCATATTGTTTTTATTCTATCCTTTAAGCTTGTAAGGACTGCTTAATAATTGAAGAAAAAAATTATTCAGAGCGATTGGTAGGAGCAACTTTGATGGAAATAAAAAGTTTCCTTAAACAAGGTTGTGAAGTATAATTTTTTAGCTAAAATTTTAATGATTTTTCAGTACCGGATTTAATTATAATCTTTAGATGCTGTTCCTGATACGAGGGGGTACCCAAAAGAAACTGAACTTGTTTTTTTTTAACTCTCCACTTACACTAATACACTTGTCTAGTCTTTTATTCCATTTTTCAAAACATTGTCTAAATTCATCTTTTGAGATGCTTGACAGCGCCTCTGTCGTTTTTTCCTTTCATGTCTCTCTTCATTCGAGGAAACAAAAAAAAGTCGCACGGGGCAAGGTCGGGTGAGTATGGAGGGTGAGGAACAGGGGTCATACCATTTTTGGTCAAGAATTGTCGTACAGACAGGGCTGTGTGAGCAGGGGCATTGTCATGATGGAAAAAACCAGTCACCCGACTGCCACAAATCTGGCCGCTGAGCTCCAATTCCCTCCCGACAGCTCCACAATTTCTTCAATGGTCCGTCGTCGATCTTCCTTGATGATTTCACGAATTTTTTCAATTTTTTCATGTGTTCGGGCCGTGGAAGGACGACCAGAACGAGGTTTGTCATCAATTGACATTTCACCATTTTTGAAACGGGAAAACCACTGAAACACTTGAGTTTTCCCCATAGCATCGTCCTTGTACACTGTTTTTAACATTTCAAGAGTTTCTGTTCCACTTTTCCCGAGCAAAAAGCAGAATTTCACCGCCGCACGCTGTTCACGAAAATCAGCCATTGCAAAAACGACGATCACACAAAACAGTTGTCACTATAAACTCTGCCGAAACTAGTCCTTACCTTCTGAAGCAACGGTAGTCGGCTTATCAACTCAGGAATGTTAGCTCTATGCGCTCATAGCGGCAAAACGCGGTACTGCAAAAGCTCTGCCCACAAAAAAATTAGTTCGGTTTCTTTTGGGTACCCCATCGTATACTTGCTTACAAACTAGCTGTAAACTCTTACTTTAATGGTACCAGTATTAAAGTTAATATTGGTGTGTTTCTTGCAGGGAAACAAACCCAACTTGGGATGTGGAAATCCGTGATGATGTAATTGAGGAATGCAATAAGCATGGAGGAGTCCTTCATGTGTATGTAGATAAAGCTTCACCCCAGGGAAATGTGTATGTGAAATGTCCATCAATAGCCACAGCTGTAGCGGCTGTTAATTCACTACATGGTCGATGGTTTGCTGGTAAGTTAGGTGTGGATCATGCTCTGTATGTAGAATTTGTCATGTTTTCAAGGAATATACGACTAAAACCATGAATGGCACAAACGCAATTGAAGCACGATTGTTCCTGAAGTTAGAGACTTCACAGTATTATATTATATTATATTATATTATCATTGTTGCTGGTGTCATTGGTCATGAAAATACATGATGGCCAAACTGGAGAATCACTGATCTAATCAGATGCAGCCTTTAACCATTCTTACATATCTCATCTCTGCTGATTGCTATAGTTTTCCAAGCTTCACTTCCGCATAGCAGAGTTGGTAGTGCTACTGTGTTTCTAACTAGAAAATTGCTTTGAATGCTGTAACTTTCCTTAGTTAAAATTTCCAGATTATGCATTTTACTGGTATTGTGTAAAATATAAATTTCTACTTGAAATTCCAACATTCTTCTGTATCATATTTTTTCAGGGCGAGTTATTACAGCAGCTTATGTACCCCTCATTAATTATCACAGTTTATTTCCTGATGCAATGACGGCACAACAACTTCTTATGCCATCAGCAGCCCGCAGAGGACTTTGAGGGTGTTTTGGATTGAAGAGCAGATCATTGTAAATCCCAAATCCAGTGATGGAACCCATCTCATCATGCCATTCCTACATGCAGAATTGGATGCCATATAAAGACACTAGAAACATCGTGAACTGGATTGGACCACATCCTTGTTTGCACATTTCAGAACAGCTGTATGTTGCGCCATGTCTACATTTTTAAACCCATGTACAAATTTGTGGACCTGCTGATTCACCTTTCTTTTCTCCCAATTAAATAAGTAAACTGGGTTATGTATGAAATGCTAATAATATCTTTTACAAACTTTCAATTTGAACAAATAGATATAAAGTTTTTAGTGTCTTATAATTTAAACATACAAGACTGATGTTTCAGAATGAGAATACACTTTGCTGCTGCAGATGTACTGTAAATCTTGGTGAATGTAGTGGCGTTATGTGTGATGACAGTGTAAGGGTAATCAAATTGCAGAGTGAAATTATGCTTCAAGTTTTTTTTTATATATATATAAGTGCTGTGTTGATTTTCCTTTCTGTGGATTGTAACTTTTCATTCTCATTTTTTACTTTCCACATTAAAGAAAAGGCAACTGCAGTATAATCACTTCTGTGATTCTTACACAGGACCTACATTAAGCTGAGTTCATGGATGTATATTTGTTTGATAAATAAATCTGTTTCCATAAGTGGTATCTGTCTTTAATTGTTGAGAGTAAAGTGTACAATGTGCTGTTTCTCTTCACTGATGGGACAAACTTTGGTTTCCCTTCATAACTGTATTCAAGCCTTTATGTTTATCAGATGTTTCACACAAAGTGCATAACATAACTGTGTAATGGGGGTGATCATGTTCGGACATGAGGTAAAAAGGGTAAAATTTAAAAACCAATTATCTAATTTGGGTAAAATTAATACAGGTGTTCCACAAGGATCGCTCTTAGGACAGTTATTGTTTCTGATTTATATAAATAACTTACCATCTTATATACAATGTTTAGACCCATTAAATACCTCTGTTGTATTATTTGCTGATGACACAGGTGTAATAATCTAATTGCAGACATCTTGAAAGGAAACTTACTATGGTGTTTAGATTTATGAATGAATGGTTTAACTCAAACTTGCTTTCTTTAAATTTTGGAAAGACGTGTGCATTTTTTCGCCAAACAAAATCCTATCAACAAATTAAATATTAAATATGGAAATAAACTTTTATTAGACTCTAATGAGTTTAAATTCCTGGGAATAACACTGGATAATACTATGTCCTGGAGAAGACATCGTATCAATTACAGACAAACTAAATAAAGCCTATTACATAATTTGGAAATCCAAACAGTACTTATGTAATGGTGTACTTTGCCTTTTTTCATTCAGTAATGCCTTATGGCTTGATTTTCTGGGGAAATTCAACTCATAGTAAGCATGTTTTTAGATGGCAGAAGAGAGCTGTTCGATTAATTATGGGAGCTGGGAACAGAAAATTGTGTAGAATTTTTAGTCAATTGAAAATTCTACCTTTGCCCTCTCAATATATCTATTCCTTGATGATGTTTGTAGTAGGTAATATGGAAATGTTTGTTGAAAATTCCAAGCTGTATACAACAGTAACTAGGAATAGTTTGAACGTGCATCTCTCTTTATCAAATTTAACAGTTTTCCAGAAGGGTCTACAGTATATTGGACATAAAATTTATAACAGTCTTCCAGGTAATATAAAACAATTGTCCAGGAACAAAAATCAGTTTAAGAAAGCATTATTACAGTTTCTACATTCATTTTATGATATAGATAAATTTTTTAACTACAGTGACAATAAAACTCATAAATGGGATTTTTACTTGTATATACACTGAAGTGCCAAAAAGTCCTGGGATAGATACCTAGTATCATGTAGGACGCCCTCTAGCCTGGCGAAGTGCAGCAATTCGACGTGGCATCGATTCCACAAGTGGACAGAAGACCTCTGGAGAGATGTTGAGCCATGGCGTCTGGATAGCCGCCCACAGTTCCCTGGTATTTGTAGGTGCAGAATTTTGGGTGTGAATGGACCTCTCTACTGCGTCCCATAAATGCTCAATTGGGTTCATGTTGGGCGAACGTGGTGGCCACACCATTTGTCGAAACTCTCTAGAATGCTCCTTGAACAAATTCTGGTCAACTCCGGTCCGATGACACCGTGCATTGCCCTGCTGGAATATCCCATTGTTGTTGGGGTACATGAAGTCCATGAATTTCTATCATTGATATATTGTTATTGTGTGTATTTTTATTGCAAAATAGTTTTGAATAATAGCTTAGTAGTAGTAGTAGTGGTAGTAACAGTTTAGAAAGCTTATCCTATCGACATAACATACATCATGTCCCATTTCAACTTGTACTCGTGAAGAAATATACTAATATATACTAACTTCAATTAATTTATCAAGTCACGAAATTCATTCAACACACCATCACTGATTTGGCTATAAATGGATTCTTGGGGTGAAGATGTCTGAGTGTCGCCTGTTTCTTCCAAGGGCCTTGAGTTTTCGTTGTTTTCGGACATATTCGGGTATCTAGCGGTCATTTGTGTAACTGGAGGCTTGAGAAGTCTGGTATCCACAGTTTGAGTATTCATTTAACCCCTATCAGCACTGAATAAAATATTACACATATGACGTTGCACGTAACTCCTTGTATGCTGCATATATGCTCTCAACTTATTTGCAATAAATGCACCAAAATTGTCATTTTCCTCCAAAGCTCTCATAGTCATAGGTAACGACTGAATTGACTAATTTCGTTCAGAAGTAGCTTTTAAAATATTAAAAGCGGATGTCATTATTTTGTCGGGATTGATGGATTTTCTTTTTCTGGCCCTCTGTCAACTGTCAACACTTTCCGTAACATCGTCACCTGTGGTAGAGAGTTGAGGTTCCACCATACTCTGTTGAGTGCCACTACTTCCCGGTATATCCATGGTCCCACTTCGTAGCTGAAAAATCTATATGAATAAAAATGTAAATGTTCGTTTGTTCAAAATCTTAAATCCTTCACCGATTGCTTTGAAATTTTGATACAACGTTGCATTCGAATACGCGCGTTATTATATACCTATTATATAGATGTCACACCTGTGACAGGTAAAAACATGCTTCTTTTGAAAAACAGTGCCAGCTGTTGGACGTAAAAGCAACATACGCTATACTAAATATTTTACGATTCCATTTCAATGTTTCCGATTGCATTGTTAAATTGGATTTTCATAGATTTCGATTTATTTTCATTTTGATTTAATTATTTCGGGTGACATTGCGTTGGAATTGAGCTGTGTCGTTTACCATAGCGTTCATTTCGTGAGTATAGTTTATTTTTCATTATTTTTCATTTCGTTTTCTTAACTGTTCTCCGTATTTTTCAGTGCAATTGGCGGTGGGATTGAGCTGTGTCGATTGATCTGCGTTTGAATTGAAATATTTCGTTAGTATTTTTTATTTATTTTTTGTTTGTTTCTTTGTTTTCCAGTTCGTGTTATTTCCTTTTCTAATGTTTTGCAATTTTATATGTTTTTGTTATAACTTTATTTCTTCTTCTTCTTCTTCAGTGCAATCGGTCTACTTTAGTTCATCCAAATAATGCCTCGCAGAAGATCATACTTTGGTCGTCGTACTCGCGAAGCGGAAGCAGTGCGACGAGTAATTGCAAATCAAACTGGGGAAGAACGGGCATCAGCGAACGAGCGAAACAGGCAAAGAATGGCTGAAATACGTGCCGAGGAAGCAGCAGAGCGACGTGCAGCCAGACTTGAGGATGCACGGTTGCGAGCACGGCGATCGCGTTCTGCAGCTTCAGATCTGCTTCGTTCTCAACAGAATGAACGCGACAGGCTGAGAATGGCTGAAAGACGCCAACGAGAAACAGCAGATCAGCGTCAAACACGACTCCATGCTCAGCAATCACGCGATTACAATCACCTTGCATTCCGGTACAGCCCAGCTGAAGATTATAGTTTGAGCCGGCATGTTCTCATCGGCACTATGACTGAAGTGTGTCCTTATTGCAAGGCTCTGAAATTTAATGGAGAAACGAAAGGAATGTGTTGCGCCGCGTGAAAAATTAAACTGCCTCAACTTGGAGAACCGCCAGAGCCATTAAAAACTTTGCTTGCCGGATATTCCGCCGAATCAAAGCATTTCCTATCTAACATCAAGAAATACAACTCATGCTTCCAAATGACGTCGTTCGGCGCAGAAATCGTAACAGCTCAATTCATGCCAGCTTTCAAAGTCAAAGGACAAATTTATCATAAAGCCGGCTCCCTGCTTCCGTTTCATCGGCGATGGCAATGATGAATTGAATGCACGCTGCGGAATTTCTACCGGCATAAAAAGGTCCATCGTTTCCCAACTGCAAGAGCTTCTTCACGAAAAAAAACAATTTAGTGCGTTTGTTCAAAACAGCAATTGACATGATGCCATCTGATACACACAAGATTGTTACTAATGCTGACAAAACGCCTGCTGGACAACATGTGTGAAAATTCAATGCTCCAACTATAGACGAAGTGGCAATTGTTATAGCCGGAGATCAATTCCAACCTAGAGATATTGTTCTTCATCGGAGAAACGATCAATTGACAAAAGTTGCAGAAACTCATCGATGCTACGATGCCCTGCAATATCCAATCTTTTTTTGGGATGGTGCCGATGGATATCACTTCAACGTTAAGATGATAACTCCAGTCAGTGGCGAAGAAAGAAATATGAAATGCAGCGCAATGAACTATTATTCATACCGATTAATGATTCGAGAGAATGAAGACAATCACATTTTGAAATGCCGTCAATTGTTTCACCAGTACATCGTAGATATGTATGCAAAAATCGAAACAGAACGTTTGATATTCATCCGTTTGAATCAGACCAAGCTTCGCTCTGAAGAATACGTTCACTTGCGAGATGCAGTTTTAAATGACGGTAATACAACTAACGTTGGAAGACTAACCATTTTGCCATCTTCATATACAGTCAGTCCACGTCATATGCATGAGTACGCTCAAGATGCAATTGCGTATGTTCGTCACTACGGGCGTCCAGACCTATTCATTACATTCACATGCAATCCAGCTTGGGACGATATACAACAGCTCCTACTTCCTGGGCAATCGCCGGTGGATAGGCATGACATTACAGCATGTGTTTTCAGACATAAGCTGAAATCGCTGATGGATTTCATGGTAAAACATGAAGTGTTTGGGTCTGTGCGCTGCTAGATGTACTCAGTGGAATGGCAAAAAAGGGGATCGCCACACGCACATATACTAATCTGTCTCTATAACAAAATCACTTCAAACGAAATCGACGATGTAATATGCGCTGAAATACCCGATGACGACATCGATAAGGATTTGCATGAAGTTGTGACGAAAAATATGATACATGGACCTTGCGGTACACTGAATCCAAATTCACCATGCATGACAGACGGAAAATGCTCTAAGCGATATCCTCGAGCTTTACTATCCAACACAGTTACAGGAAACGATGGCAGAAGATGGCGGTGAATTAGCAACCATACAAATGCGAAACGGTGACATCGAAGTGGATAACCGGTGGGTTGTTCCATATTCGCCTTTGCTATGAAAAACATACAAAGCGCTAAATGATACAAACTCCGTCCCAAGTGCAAACAATATACAGAATGTCCCA